TTATGTTAGTAGGAAAAGTAAAAAAGGTCGAGTACTCTAGAATTTTGTTCTGAATAATATTCAAATCTATAATTTGATCAACGAGTTAAGCCTAGTATTCAAAATATATTGAGCTCTTCAACCTCTGCGATTTTCATAAATCAAGAAATTGGAATTTGAACATATATCAGCGTAGTAGAAATATTTTGATAGTACACAGTGTATCATTGAAAAGCCGTTTATGAAATATTATGAGATGCCTTGCTCAACTTGCTAGCACTTCGGCAAATTTCAGCCGTTAAGGATCATGATCGAATTGTTTTCGTAAACTCATCTTTTTACATATGATATTTGAATAGAAATAAAAATGTAGACGGAGTAAACATAGTTATTTGTGAATTGGGCAGTGTTTTTTCTGAGAAGTTTTCACTAATGATTCTTTTCGTGCTGGGTTGTCAATTATCAATAATATCTACACATGCCCTGGAAAAGTGATGTATTCATATTTTTACTTTATCAAGTTCGCATTAAGTTATAAAATATTCAGCAAAAATAACTATTCAGCTTTTTTGCATCATATAGGAGACTTCAAGTGACATTGACGCAAGAAAATCCATTAATAAAGTACTACGAAATTCACCAGTCTGTATACCGAAGTAGAAGTCAGCAGGACTTTTCTTTACTGTTATCGTTATCGTTACCGGTCTGAGCAGTCAGAGCAGATCAGATTGACCGGTATACCCGCATAAATCATGCTGTATTTGTTCTCACCCGACAACAATCGAATCAATTGCCCGAGTAGTCATACCTGCGTTGTAATTACTACAGTAGTGATACAACCATACTTTTATAGTACTTCTTACTTTTAATCGCTATAAGGAATTTTCGTGTCTGAATACCGATTGGCAAAAAAGAAAGCTTGATAGAACAATAACACCTGTGAAAATGCAACTTTAAAACTAGCTTTCACTCTAAAATTCCAAACTAATCAGCATAGAAAGTCTGAGCAAAACAACTCTGTTTGCTCAGAAAAAACAAATTCATAAGACCACCTATATGTTCAAGCGTTGAAAAAAAAGAACCGAACTCCATCAATCACAACCTCAGCTCATACAGTAATCAACCACTTCACTATAAACAGCAGAGTAGGTGTAATTATTAAAAAAATATCATAAGAAAGCCGTCTCATACCGAAGTCATTTTACTCTACAAGACAGCAACATTATAATTAAGTGAAACATTAACATAACACAAGAGATATATAAGAAAGGTTACGATGTGAACATTGATTACACCGAAATATGAAGGACCACAAACTTGAACTAGATCATTTCTTCACTGAATCTGTCATATATCGTGTGACTAAACAATCTTTATGATTTCCAGCTCCGACATGCAACGACAAAAGGAGAAATCAAGATGAAACCGATGTCGACTGTGGCGGTAAATGTGCAACAAAAGGGAAGAAGTGCGACAATGGTAAGAAGTGTGGTAAACCATTCCATTGCAAAAGCAATGTCTGCTCAAACAGCCGATGTCTCCGTAAGTACCTTATTGTGTCAGAAAACCGAATACTTGTCTTGCTTGTATAGCCTCGACCTGTGATAATCATGTGAAAGATCGAGATGAAACTGATGTTGACTGTGGCCGTAAATGTGCAGCTTGTGGAAGAAAGTGTGATGGTAACAAGAAGTGTGAGGTCCCATCAGATTGCAAAAGTAACGTCTGCTTAAACGGCCACTGTGTCGGTAAGTATCCTACTCTTTCTAGACACGGAACATACGTCTTGTTTCCATAGTTTCAACATGTAGGAATCGTATAAAACGTTTGTTAGTGTGATCTCATTAGATGCTAAAAAGTGAAACCTACAAGTTCTAACTATTAAGCAATTTATGGTATATTGTCAGAGGGCTTTAAATACTTTATTGAAAAAGATGTCAAATGAGTGAATAAACCAAAACTATAACACGTTTTACAGTTAATATACATCCCATGAAATTTTATCGTTTCGAAAATGTTTGCATTTAGAACTACTATTGTACAAATTTATTAGATACATTTAACATCGTTATACTAAAAGAAAAGACCTTTTTTATTGCCAGATACATCTTCAATGCATAACTTCTTTCCTTTTCATGAAAAGATATACGATACATGCCATTGGACGTGGCAAATATCATTCTATTCTTTGTTTCTCTCATCAAACTTTGACATATACTGTTGAGTTTTACCTAAACTTTAAATTAAATTTGTTCATACTTTTCTATGCCAATCGTTTTCTAATTATGCTAGATAAATAGTGCCACTACCCTACAGATTGGCATCTACAACAAGATCTTTATCTGCGTTAAATACCAAAAACCACAATATTTATTCTATGGTTAGCATGTACAATAGAAATTTTAAATTCATAGAGTGCTTTGGAAGATTCTAAAAAGTTCAAGAATGATCTAAACACTGCTTTTACTAATGAGTCTTTTCGTGTTGCTAAGAAAACGTATCCAATGATTGCTGGTCTCCCATCCGCCGTTACTAGGGAAATGTATCCAATCATTGTCGGTTTTTCCCTCTTCTTTGTTGCTAAGAAAACATACCGAGTGATCTCTGGGCTTTTTCATATAAGCCCCAGTCGCTAGGACCTTATTGAATGTCAGAAGCCACAAACAAAATCTCGATTTAAGCTTACAGTCACTATTTTCTTTGAGAATGTATGTGAGTTCCACCAAATCAAGGCGAGACCGATGTCAACTGTGTAGATTCATTGTGTAGCAAGCGAAAACTTTGGTGATCAAAAGTAGTGCATACAATTATCGGATTGTAATAGTCTTCTCTACTCTGGCAATGAATGTGTTTGTAAGTATTCTGTTGTGACAAAAACATGAAACATTCCGATCGCTCTTACAGTTCCGACATACAGCGATAAATGTTGATGTGGATATGCGTAGGCGCATGAGCGTTTTCCCACTATGCAGAGCATTCACACCCATATGAACACTCACTGTTTAAAGAACCTTGTGCTGTGTTTTGTGTTCCAGGTATCAGCATTAGAGCAGCAAACGCTACTAGTAAACGTGCGTTATGATAGAACATCTTTTTGAACTTGTATCGTACAAAATTATTTTTTGAGGATTCTCTCGCTATTTTAAATGCGAATGAATTGTTCTGCAAAGCTGCTGAACTTCTGATTTGTAATTGATATTAGGCACAACAACAACAACAAAAACAACAACAACAAAAACAACAACAACGAAAACAACAACAACAAAAACAACAACAACGAAAACAACAACAACAACAACAACAACAACGAAAACAACAACAACAACAACAACAACGAAAACAACAACAACAACAACAACAACAACAACAACAACAACAACAACAACAACAACAACAACAACAACAACAACAACAACTACTACTACTACTACTACTACTACTACTACAAAAACAACAACTACGACTACTAGTAAGTAATAGGCTAAATAGCTAAATCCTGCTTTCTATTGCGGTTTCATAAAAAAATTCGGATATTTGAAAATTGATGAACTTCACATGTGCAAGGATTGTCGAAGTAAGTCGAAGTTACACTTCAAAGATGAACGTGGGAGTATAGAAACTCATATCCATATTCACAATGGGACTCATAAAGCGATATTTGAAGAAAAAAATGCAATCTTTAAGGACTGAGTTTAAAGACTATTTGAGCTGAGAAACAAGTGCATTGAAATGCAAAAAGTTTTGAAATTAATATCAACTGAAAACACTTTTGATTGAAATTATTTTGAAGTATTCACTATTGAAAAACAAAAATGTATACGTCCTTTATTTCTAAAAAGACAAAAAAAAACATCCTAAGAATGCGAAGATTCCATTTTGTCCTGGCTTTGACATCTGTCACGTCATTGGTGTTTGAAGAAGAAAACCATCAATATTTCAGTCATTTTCCAAGAGATGGTGGTTGATATTTCGCAGATTCTAAAAGAGTTCATTACAGATCGTGCTTAAGAGAAGATTGAATAGTTCAATTGTTTTTAAAAAAGCAAAAATGGAACAATCTCTTGAGACTAGGGATTAGGATGGTTTAAAAACGAACTACAGAGAGACCCACACAAATATACATAGAGAGACATTTACTTAATGAATCTCTAGACACGAGGTTTTTCTAGTCTTGCGAATAAGATTAAAAGAGTTGCAGAAGGCGAGACAAAAACTAAAACAATGATTCATATTCATAAAGACAATGGTTAAAAAACGTGTTTCAGACAGACGGGCATACACAATGAATTATTTACCGTTCCGCAGATTCAAGACACAATCTAGAGAAAATATCAAATGAATAATTATTGAAATATTTATCTCAGAACATACATGTTGAGTTCCAAAAATGCATGTTGTCTATACTGGTCTGTGGAGAAGGGATGAGCCCAAGTTTCTTACTGTATACTTTGAACACTAATTTTCCACTATGTTTCCAAAAATAACAGGGCAACACATCTACTAATGCACACGGTACTCATCTGAAAGAAATGACTTGTGTCCAGATGTTGGCCATTGGTCCCTGGGTGCCAATTACTTTTGCTTTTTACCTACCTTCCTCACATTTCCATCCTTCTATATCTACTACTCTCTGTGACTGATTTCTCTTGTCCATGTAATATTATTCTTAAGCCCGAATCTTTCTGTATTGAATGCTTGCATTGGTTTTATTACCGATGAAAATTGACAAACACATTCAACAGTTTCAATGCTTCTTGTTTATACTCAATATGATGCAAATAATGGTTTCATGCGAGCGGTGAGACATTCTAGTGTCATATTGGTCATTTCAGTATCTTTTTGTCATAAATTATGCAAAATATACTCGTTTACTGCTAGGATCTTTGTCGAGATTGATAGCATTATAAATTTATTCCTCCGTTTCAATTCATGGATCCTGTGTTTTCTTGAAAACGTCAAGGCTATTGAACTTTCTAAAAAGGTTTTATCGCTGATCTTTTTTCTTTCATGAGAAGGTGAAAATCATATCTTTCAATTCAATCGAAAGGCTACTTTTCTTAAGAATTGCAAGGAAAGAGCCTATCAAAAAAATGAAAGTGTTCAATAAGAGAAGGGCATTCATTAGGAGAATATGCTGCGACCTATTGTTTCTTGAATAAATTCATCAACCACATAGATTTTTGAACTTTCTGATGCGATAGTCGTGTTACAGAAAAAATAAATTGAAATTACAACAGATTCAATCAAGAATGATAGATAAAGGCAAAAACGGCCACAATCAAACACTAAAACTAAAAGTGTTTCTTTTCTTCTGCTTACTTTGACGCTTTTGCCTGAGTAATTGTAAGCTGGAAACAACGAAGCTCACACTGTATATTCACTATTTAGAAGTGAGTTCCGCACAATAGAATACATCACCGTTTATTTGAGTTGATAGATCAATGTATTCAAAGGTATATTTTCAAAGATAAACCCTAGTCTATATCGCATTTTGAAAACGCTAAAATTTTTCTCCATAAAGATTCAAAAGCGGGCTGAAATCGATTTGTCAACCTACTACGAAGAGACTGCCTAGTACAGACGATTTTTGATTCAAGTACAACTTATCATATTCATTTAGGCACTTCTACGACGAGAACTACAACACTTCTAACTAAACCACTGTCAAATACAATGTTTGCTTTCGTTCATTACTCAATATCTAACGACCACTTCAAAT